ACAAAAGTTATGAGGATGCATCTAATAAGTATTAGAACTACAAACTGTTTCATATTCACTCTTATGAAATACACGAGTAAATTCTCTTTCATTAAAGTAACTAAGAAAGTTACTGAGATACCGTGAAAAAGTATGTGGAGGCCTTGAATTCACTGTAATGCTACCAGATCAGACATTCATAAAATCGAAACGAATTCCAGTAGAACGAAAACAGACTATCCCCTAATTTTCCGAGTAAATAGAAATTATTCAGCCTTCTGTAGACCAGTATTATAACAATTACTATTGTCCAAAGTAAATGAATGATTTGTGAATGTGCAAATGAGGGAATACAAGGAAAGAAATAAAAAACGCCATGGAGCACAACGATTGTTTAGGAAATACAGGTTGGTCGAATTCAATTTTCTGAAAGTATCGCATATAAATCTCTTAAACCTAGTACGTAAAAGAGCAAGTAAATGTACAGTTGTGTTCCAAAATAAGTTTTAGTGGACTAGCATTAGATTCCGATATCATCTTGAAGCAGTAAGTTTTGACTTTGTAGTAGACTTCTTATGTGAAGGACTATTTATCGATAGAAAGTTTTAGTACGACTAACAACGGATCCGTCGTGATACACAAGAGAAAGGATATGTAGAGAATATCATATTTTGAGTTATCGTACCTTCAAAGTTTTATTCAAAAATGTTTCTGTTGAGACATATATCAACTTCAAACACGAATATTTTCTTTTCTGCTTATCACCTCTTCTCTTTTTTTCTCGTTTTCAGCAATTCGTCTTACATCTTTAATAATATAAATGATCATATTAATAACAGTGTGTTACATGGAGTATACCAGTTTACTGAAAAGATCAAATTGTTAAGAATACTATCAAATTTACCTTGATAGTATGTTCAGTTAGATTATTACTGATATTCTTTTTCGACAAATACATTAACACTCTGAAAGTGATTATAAATATGCTAGGTACACAGCGGAGTTCTTGATTGGTACGTATAACTCAGGATTAGGGGGACTTGCAAATTAGTCTTGCAATGGAACGGGTCAATAAGTTAATAGTAATTAAGTTTATTCTCAAATAACAATCAGTTACATGTGATATGCCAGTTTACAAGCAAAATTTAAATCTTACGAATGATAACATGTGTACTGTAAAAGATTGTTAAATTAGATGAATGCTTCACAAGATACAATGGTTTTCTATAGAATGCTGATATAGTGAATATAGCCCTGATATTACCACAGGCTTACGGTAACTTTTCCGAGGAGCGTCTTAAATTGCTATCAGTTGAATTTCACTTGTAGTGCTAAAATACACTTACCCAATCAATTCTAGACCTGGATTTAACATACATTGATTCTCGAGCACTAACTGTTCATCTCAACAAAGCCGACATAACTGTTGTATAGTACAATCTAGAGTATGAAACATTACTTACAAATTTTATGTCAAAAAAATCAGCCTTCTGAAGGAAGCCAGTGTATTTTGTGAAATATTCATCTCAAACATTAACTCTTCTCAGTGGATGTGTAAGCACTTATAACATTTAGTTATTTAGTTATTTTTACACTCCCAAATAGCACTAATTTTTCTAGTTGAATATAAATCTCTTTAGTTTTTATTTGAAATAGACAGGTTACTCTACTAACTGGGTCGATCGACACTGTTCAACTGTAAACTGGTTGATTAGAATGCACTCTACTCTCCTGGGCGCAACCTTATCAACACTTACAACTGTGTGAAATTCACATTGCCTATTATCAATTATACTGTTCTCACTTACACGCTATTGACTTACCTTGGCCCCTTAGTGTTATCTATTGCTCAGCTTTTAACCGCGATACTCTTTATATCTCCTGCTTAGCTAGTTAAGTACATCTTCCCCACTACATTCAAAATGCTTATATCTTGTTTGAAAATTCTTACTATTTCTCCATAACTGTTAACTGTATAGCATTGATGCCTAACCAATAGTTCATAAGTTGTAATAGCCAGACGAGTTTGTGAAAGGAACTTGCAGAAATAGTGTTTCTCAACAGGATGTGAGACATAGAACACCAAGTAGAACTCAATAGCTTCTTTTAAACATTTAACATGAGCCTAACAACACAAAAGGAGGGAGGGTGGAGTTACTGACCAGCAAACATTGATGGTATGGGCGATAACTTCAAACAACCCATGTTTGTGGGGCAGAACATTTTGTTTGCTTTCGGCTCTTTAGATTGATGAGACGACTAATCAGTAACACTGAGGTTGCTCTTATACGCTTGCTACTTCTGTGGTTCATGTTTCCAAAACTATGCTGAGGTCGCTATTCTGTCGAGACACCTGCAACATTCTTACTCAGGCGCTTACAGTATGACTTAGAGGTTGGCATTCAATAATAAAGAAAAAAAAAGTTAGACAGTGCGAGATTTTATTCGTCAAATATTTATTTTTACAAACTCTACTCTTTTAACTAGAATGTCGATTTCAACGTACATAAATCCAGCTTCTTACTTCGACTTCTCTTCTATACACCTGACACTGCACAACTCTCCCTTCTTTTTGCTGTACTCCTTTATCTGTGTGTTATATTCTTATATTCCTATAATTTACTTTAATTTAAGTGGTCAGTATGAATGTTATCTTGACTTACTACTGTATTGACTACTTTAACATGACAGGTTAAGTAGTGCTTTGGTTATATATATACACTTGCCACACTGCTGCCTTTTCCTCTCTCTCTTCTCCTTTTCAGAACCCCATTCAGGGTGGGAAATCGTTGGCAACTCTAGGGAACATGCACCCAATGTACATGACTGTCTGGATCACAGCTCGTATCAAGCGCGTTCCATATGACCTTTCCCAACAAATTCACTATTGATCTCGGCCAATCGCCAATAGAACCTATTGTGCACCTTCCTCATTTGTACTCTAATATTGAAAATGTGGCTGTATAATACTGTTTCTGTCAGTGATATGGTGTAAATATGCAATCAGAAACTGTCTCTTATACTTAATTTAACTGCTATAACTTTTACAGTAATTGTAAAAGCATTTGTGACAATTTGATCTAGCCTGTAAACTGGCGTGACTCTTGTAACTTAGTTATTTGAGAATAAATTATTATTATTTAGATCATGCCTGTAAACCGGCATGTCTTGTGTAATATATGGTAATCGATAATAAATTTTATTATTGTTTTTATAATTACTGTTAGATGATTTGTATAAATGCTTCCGGTAACATGGATTTTTGACAACTTTTCTCTCATTATTACGAGCAACTGACAGATTCAGACACAATCCATCGTTATCTTCACTTGCATGCAAGCTGGTGAGTCTCAACATCAAGGGTTTCGCAGTGAACCATCCTAAGTCCAATCCTCCACCTTACAGTTAATGATTATTATTCTCGCTGAGTTGTGAGATAATCAGAGGTTATCAGATGATAGCATACAAAATATTAGGCACACCGTGACAACTCATTAAAATTTGTTGCAACTTGGATTGCTCTTACAGACGAGGTAAAGACAGCCACCTCAGTGGATTGCTTCAAGTAGAGACTTGATAAACACGTACTCACCAACGGATTATCATCTCCCTCGTCGATCAGCTGTGCCTGATGCACGCCTTGAGATCTGATGGTTGTTACTTTCACCATCTCTTCAGAACATCAACCCACCCTATCTCGATTATTATCTCTGTTTCCTCTCCCTTGCTTACACTTCCTCCCTCTCGCACAATCCCCACTACCGATAAGCAAACTAAATCTTCTTCTTATTAGCAACAGACATTTCTCTCGGCCTGGTAACGTGATAGCTGCTGGTTTCCAGAAAACCTACTACCCTGAAACAAACGTAATCATTCAAATCAAAGGACATATTAACTGAAAAACAACTGCCAACTGACTGGAATTAGTGCAGTCGAGTGACTAGAGTAGCATCCATTGGACACTACCAAATACCTGGAACTGTACATGAAGAACAATAATCGAGGGAATGAAACTTAATTTGTTTATACTAGCTGCTGAAGAAGATAGTGGATATACTATGGTGTATTGGCAATTTTTTCGTTCGGGTTGTTATGACTACACTGATGGTCCTTTTTAAATTCACTTCGGTGCGCTATGCTCTACGCTACGCTGTTCTTTATTCTTGCTTCTACTTTTTCGATTACTATTATGAGACTAGTGATATTGCTACGAATTATTTCCCTTATAAAAGAAAATCTAGTCTGATTCCTGTCTAGTGTATCTTAGCTTTTTTCTCTTTGTAACGGTCTTCACGCAGGTCTCAGATCAATAATCACTATTTGGCTAGACTCAGACCGGTGCAATAGAGAGAAGGCTTAATAATTATTTTTGAGTTATCAGCTTATTCCGATCCATCATAATAATACCTAACAATAAATTGGAGTTCCAATTTATGCCTGTTATTAAGGTATAAATATCGCTTTAGAAAAATCCATTATTGAAGTGAGGAACAAAAATTCGGTACAACAAATAATTATCAAGAAGCGCGACAGTAAATTGAGTGGTTAATATTAATCCTTCTGCCCTGAAACAAGCATTAATTCAAATCAAGAGACAGATAAACTGACAAACTGCCAACTGATTAGAATTAATGCAGTTGAATGCTTAGACACTATCAAATACCTGGAACTGTACCTAACAAAGAATAATCAAGTGGAAAGAAATCGACTGGTTCATACTAGCTCGTGAACAAGATTTTAGATACTGAACTCGGTATAAAGTTGATGAGCTGATGTTTTGAAGGATTCTTGTTCAAGAACGAAACCTTTCTTTAGTTTAGTTTTACGTTTATAACTGAACATAAGCTTTCCTATCACAGACAGGTGGAATCAATCGTTATCAGATCTTCACGTAAACCACAGACTTGGGAAACAAGTATGCTGCCAACCAATAGGCCATTTATATGGATTAGGTTTGGAGGTATTAAAGATGCTTATAATATTTACATCGTATTGCAGATAATAAGAAAGTATTAGTCAACATGTGGTGTTCGCTTGAAATTCTACTAAATCATATTGTCGTTGTTTGCGACATAGATCCTGAAAGTATGCGTCTATTTACTTAACATCTACGGAAAAAGTTACATTTGACTTATGTGACACTTCAGGAAGACTTTTAGGATTAAGTGATTCACAAGCCTATCAGCAAACAATTAAAAGTCTTGAAGGTGGCGCTGTTTACATTCTTGTGGCAATTGAAGGTAAACATGATAATTCATTAGTAATAAGGAAACAAGTCAGACCAACAAATGAATATCCGACCAATGCTTGATAATTTTGAACAGTACTACCCTAATTTAACAGGTGATTGGTTTTACCAGTTAATATTATTTTACAGAACAAATATCACAAAATATCCATGATAAATCAGAAAGATATTCCAAGAGAAAGCTTATGAAACGAACACCGCTTCCGACAAAGGTGACAACCAGCAGAAAGGCTAAAAAGTAGATCTCGGTTTTACTTTGATTCATAAAAAACATGTGAACATTAGATAGACTGATAAATTTGAATGAAACAGATATTTTCGTCTTTTCTTCTAAAAGGCGGATCAGGCCTTCTTTGTTCGGTTCACAACGACTTAACTTTTCTAAGGATGAGATGAACTTGAGTGGTCATTGAGGTGTATTGGTAATTCTGAACCAGTATAAATCATTATAGATCATTAATATTTCCATCTGTGTGAACAATCAGTGATAACAGTGACGACAAAAACGTATAAAATTTGTGAGTATTTCAATGAACACAGTTATATTTTCATCATTGATTTCGGACATAATGATAAATGGGTTGGTAAAGCCTAATAATTAAACGAAAAGTCTACAACCTGCTATAGCCTAATTTTACTGCTGCAGAGAAAAGCCTCTTAAATGCTTTATTTGTTAAAATATACACGCTGGAAAGCTAGATGCATCTGGTTTTTGTTAAGTGAAAAATAAACAGTTTCATAAATCGAAATTATAGCATTTGTACCTCCTAGTTTTATTTAAGGAAAATGAAACAGGTCCTCAGAATACCAGTTGTAATCGTCTAATTCAAACGAAGACCGAGACCAACCCATGGGTAGCACTAACACTTTACTTAAGTGCCAAAAACTGGTCCAATGACATCACGCAACCGCTTTTCTCCATTGCTATAAACTAGTGCGATCATAAAAGGTTTGTCGATAATGATAATCTGATTCTTCTTTTATCGTCTGTGAAGTATGGAGAAGTATTCGAACGTATTACTGTCTTAAAATACTGTCACTGTTGGGGTGTCTCACTTTGATAGCGTTTTATGACTGAATACAAGTGCAGAGGCATTCAGACTATGACGTAGTATCCTAGAGTGAACAGTGTTATTGAGGGACTATGTTAGACCCGATATTTCTGAATCAGGCTCGGGACATAGTGCGATCCAGTCGCCTCAGATGTCAGAACACAGTTCATAAGTGATTTTACCACGATTCTATCCCTTTTGTTTATAATAGGCAGGATACAATATTTAATTTTATATTCCGAATTAAAATGTCCTTAAACATTAGATGTTTCCAGTAAATAGATCTCTCTAGCCTTTTACTTTTGAGCATTCTTATTCTCTTTCCTTTAATTTGATAGCCAAGTTTCTCATTAGGAAAAATCAACCAGATGATTAACCAGGACTGCTGACATAATAATTCATAATAAAGTCCGCTTCCATGATTCTCTGTTTCACACATCACTTACTACTACTAAAACTGAACAGAAAAATCGCTATGACATCTCACCCTTGACTGCATTCTAACATATCTTTTCTCTTATACTCAAAGCAATTCAAGTTACACATGTTGATGCGAGCTAGTAATAAATTCATGATATGAGTTTCTATAATGACCAAGCTGGATACTGCAAGGATGCATAGCTTTAACAATTTCAAGTTACAACGTAGGATTCTTGTACCGAACTAACTACGTTTTAAGTATCCTTGCAATACCTGTTGACATACACGCTTCTAAACTGGAATCACTACCTCACATTGACGCCATAGTATATAAATTTTAAAAGTGCTAAGACGTAAACTGGAGGACGGTTTTGGGACTGGAAGGATATTTCAAGTCACTAAATTTATGTAAGTGAAGCTCAATAATATAGAATGGACCTGCCCAAAATTGTAAAAACCCTCAGAACTAGAAGAATAAATTAGTATTAACTTTATAGAACATAAGAAACAAAATACCAGTAAAACTTAAACTGTAATCATTACTTGAAATCAATAATAGTAGTTTGACAATTTATAAGCCAAAAATGGTCTAACCTCCAACGTATAAAAGAATATAAATATGGGGCATACGACGATACCAACATATTTATAACAACAGTTCGGTTCTGAGCTGATTAAATGGCCTAATGAAAAGCACCAAACAGACGAAATATTTCAAGTAATCCGAGCAACTACGTGTTCTCAAATTAACATACCAACAAAAAACTGGCAGTTGTACGGCGTTGTCAATCCCATTTCAAAGTAGGCTATTTCTCATCATAGGATAAGTACAAAGAAATTATTACAATCATTAGCGTATGTGTATGTTGATAATTTCTTAAGAATTCGTATATTCTGAAAATTGTGGAAAACTGTCAATAAATATTGGTTTCGAACATGAAAATATGAAGAGAGTTGAGTTAAGATAACTAGTTGGGTGTTTGTTAACTCAAGTTTTACCATCCTAAAAAGCCGTAGTACGACTCAGGATACAGGAAGTCCGCTAACCTCGAAACGCTCCTATATGGCCATACGTATATAGGTACTGTCTCCTCGCAACGGGTGTGTTGTTTATAAGATTTAGAAAGAATTAATTGTGATTAATGTGGCCTTGTGTGCTGTTACGAATATGAGGGCAGATATCACTCCCCGGTCGCCTGCACTGTGGGTGAGAAACTGGACTAGTGTTGACCTTAGAGCGTGACAACAGCCTAACAAACAAATGCTTGAGGTTGTTCACGCACGGCATTTTTATTAGAAGTTTTTAGTGTTAGCTCCGCTCTTGTTTATAAGGCCTTACCGCCGAAGACGGAAATCCATGAGGTGTGACGTTTTTAGGTTCTAATTCCGCCATTCCTTATGAGAAAACAGAATCATTACAGATGCTGGTTGCCCAAAGGAAACACCTTACTGCTGTTACACTCCTCTACAGTCAATCAGCGGTATGACTTCTCCCTTAGACCTTGAGTTGCTGCTTTTAGTCCTACCGTTCTCCAACCCATCTGCGTGGCATGGTAGAACCTACAGGAACATAGGCTCCCGCCAATATAGCTCGGTTGGGTCATCACGATAGGCAGATCCGACCACCACGTCAAGGTAGCAGGTACGGTCAGGTCCTTGTGCATCCACTATCTGTGTTTTCTCAAATTCTAATTTCCTGAATTCCTAGTCAACTCTTCCTCTTCCTAAATTTATCCCACTGAATTACACTTCTCCTTTACCGCTAATACTTTTACTATCTCTAACACTATGGGATTTGAACTGAAAAAAGCGTCTCTCTACTAATGTGGTATGGCAACCTGATCCCATCACATACACAAAATCGATTTTCATGGAACATATAAATTTCGATTTCGTTTTACCAACGTTTAGTAAATAATTTACAAATTCCTAAACACCTTGACGAGTTTGTATTTTAGGATTTGTAAGCATAGAATAAAGTTTTACATTAAAGATTTTTTGCCAAGTTATCAGTGTCAAGAATGTCATTTGATTTGGGGATATTCACTGATGAACAATTAAATTAGACTTCTAGAGTTCTGGTGGATTGCATTTTATAATCCACTCAAAACGAAGTGTTGTAGCAGCGAAACCGGTAGAAAAATCCAGCTTCTCCACGATCACAGGTACACCCTGATGACAAGTGCCAAACAGCACGAAGCCTAGGGGTTTCCTACTGACTACCCAATAGATATTGAGATTAAATATACAGATATGATTAACTAATCAGTTTAACCATTAGTTCACTTTGAACAAGACACGATATTAAAGTATTATTAAAACAATCACGATACTGATCCTTTTGATTTATTTTAGCTAAAGTCCATGGATAATTTCAACTCTACAGAAACGTCAACAATTAGACAAATTGTTTTAGAAAAGAATCATTTTTTTTATTGTTTTTTGTAAAAAAATGCCTTACGAAGTACAAATATATTATATATATACATATACATATATATTTATATATAGATATAATACAGGATGGATAAATGAAATTTCTATATCCGAAAAAAACGATATTTGCAATTTCATTTCGCCTTGTCTTTCGAAAAATGAAGTAACACATCAGTTAGATAACTGATTCGAATGAAATGAAAATTACGAAAAATGAAGAACAAACAAGTAAACAAAACATGAACAACAAATGCATATTTATAGTTCTTTTCTGATGAAAAATAATGGTATTTTACTGATGATAATGCGCACGATAACAATATCACCGACAGCGAAAAAATACCATTCAGAAGAAATCAACGACACTGGAACAATTTCTCTCGAAATGGTATTTTTTCATAATAAATGTTGAGAATGATGAAAGCGTGTATGAAGAGAGTTTGTTTAGTCGGTACGTTTCTGGATGTGAAAAATATCAGAAAATATACTGGATGAATAGGGCACCGCATTTGGATATTTATTGGGAGGTATTCACAATGAGACAACACAGTGTATGCTATATAATGTACAGTGAGATTTATTGCAGTGTATGTAAAGACAGGAGAGAAGAGACTGATCTGCAGTTGTAGGTATCAATGAAAACCTCCAGGATGTTGGTAAGCAAACGTTGGATTGAAAGGAATCGAGGTTACACTACCCACAGTTTGTACAGGTGATGTCTTATAAGTAATACCTGGAGGGAAATTGCCAACAAAAGCATTTGTTGAACCAGGTAGAATACTTGGGGCATGTACATGTATCTGAGGATGGAGAACATTATTTGTGGGCTGAAGTGAAGTGAGCAAAGAAGAGCCAAAGACAAGTGGAGCAGTTTGGCCAGATACAATTGAATTTGGACCAACTTGATAAACATTTGAAAACATTTCAGTTGTATTTGGAAAGCTTATTAAATGATTTGTATACGTATTAGAAGGAGTACCAGTAGCTAAGGTCATCATCTAATCAAGTGAAAAAGTTTGGAATAAAGCAGAATAACTATAGCTATGGTATAAACAATAATACGATTTGAACCGCCTACAAATGAAATCTTAGAAGGTAACCCACTTCTATACAATAACAATCTATAGTAGACTTGTCAAGCTTAAGTATTACACAATAGCAGGAAACTATTTAGCTCACCTAGCAATATTTGTAACTCAATATTCGAGCAAATGAAAGAAAGCATAAGTATATACATTGAGTAGATAAATGTATTACATTACCAAACAACAATAAACATGGAGATTACTAATGCGATTGTGTTCTATGAAATGAAGAATTATTATAATTTATGAGCTTATAATATTAGAATATCAAGAGTGAAACAGTACTTAATATGTAACATACTGAGTGGATTTGTAACATGAATTGTGCTTACAAATTGGAAATGCTTTGGAAAATTCGTTGAAATTAATCCATAACATTTTAAAAAAATGAGTGGAAACTTAAGTTTTCCTCTTAAAAGAAAATTAATGAAGTAATTTACCATTATAATCACTTGAGAAGAGTGAGACACAAATGATGAAAATTGTAATTAACATAACTACGAACAAATTTACGTATTATACGTAGGATTGAACGTGTATATGGGATTACAGAAATACTAGCCACTTATCAACAGTGATCTATACGAAGTGGGGAGTGGAACCGACCAATCAATTGATTGGTTAGTATGTAATCGTTTACATTATCAATCTACAGTAATAAGACAACTAAACTTTTCAAATGTTGGGTTAGGCAATATTGAATTGAATGAATGACATAAATTTGAAAGCAGTGAACGTAATCATATTCACACATTGAAATAGGATTCAAACTTCTATTTTGCTTCATATAAAAATAACAATAATATACATTTTTATTACGGGGATAAAAGTTGAAAGATGTGAAAAAAAAGGTAGATGACTCAAAGATTTAGTGACAATAAAATGTAGCTAAATATTTACTGAACACTATGCTTATCTCTTCTTCATCAAGTGTAAACAAAGTTTCACTTATGATTGATATTCGTTTCTTCAGTACAATTTCATTATGACATGCAATTTACTAATATCATTAGTTAAGTTGAATGAAACTGACCCACATGATCCAAGGATAAATTTATAATGAGAAGAAATTTGTGCTTAATGAAATAATAATATAATTAAGCTTCAAATGCAAAATTCTTAAAAGAAAGCAAAATGCGAACGTAAAAACAGAGATTGGAAAACTTGACGAATTTTAGAAAAGGTACAAAAATTTTTCAACGTTCAAGTGTTTTTCATTAGTTTAGTGGGCATACAAGTTGGGTGATGAATACATATTCTCACAAGAAATCTTCTCATTGAAATAAAAAACATTTACTATTCATGATATCAGTGTATTTGTATAAACAACTACTATGATTTGTCGCTGACTTGTGTACTTTTGATAAACCTTTTGCTTCAACAGCTTGTCAAAATGCTTTATTCAAAAAAATCAAAACAAACATTCGGATTTGACATTATTATAGTATAGAACACAATACATCCAATTGTTTCGCAGGATCGTTTTATCTCTCTCTCTCTCTCTCTCTAGCTTAACAAAATCTAAAATGATTAACCAAATACTCGCCAAAAATTTCTTTAAAAAATAATACCAACACTCTGATGCACACACACGCACACATACTTGTATATAAATCTTTGTATATATATGTATGTATGCACATGCATGATGATAAACAAAAGAGATGAATAAATATACATTAAGCATGATATTCAAGTACAAAATGGAAAAGAACACATTCGTGATAGGTACAGAAGAGAATTACACGCAGCCATACAAATACAATTGACAATTTCGTTATATCAATGGGTGTTATGCAAACTATAAGATGATGGTCATGTTGGAAAATTACAGAAGCGCAAACATAAAAGAAATGTTCTTTTTTGAAAAGTAAAGTATGAAGTAGTACATTCATGCAAACATCGTCAAAATTGGACTATTGTTAGGCTGCAATTGATTCAGCGTTTAATTTTATGCACCGATAAAAAGCAAGTTAATGGTATTATCAATACACAAAACACCATTAGTTTCGACCTCGGATAAAAAACAACAGATAATGTGGTATATGTTTTATATTTGTAAAACCTGATATAATTATGAGTTGTTGCTTTCGCAATAAGGCACAGGTAGAAATAGAACCCTAAGGTATTATAATACTGGTTGTCGCTTCATATATATATATATATATATATATATATATATATATATATATATATATATATATATATATATATATATATGAAGAATTGAAGGAACCATAGACAGTGAAAGCAATACATATCTATAAAAGCTTACTGAGTATAAAATCGCCTGATGTATAATATTAAAACAAAAGAGACTGTATTCAAATAGTTATTGTAATCTGATTATAACTTCATTATTATTATCATTATTAGTGGGAAAACATTGTAGTTTTAAGACTAACCTTGTTATCATTTACTGATGATAGGTAATTAGGTGAAATATTATTGGACAGACGGACAGGATAAACAGTAGAAGTAGCAACAACAGTAGTCGATGGTATTGTATTTGCTGTTATTGATGTGGTTGTTGTCATTAGATTTTGACCGTCCATATTATTTGATAATGGTACAGATAATTGTACAATAGGAGTTGTTTGTATGGGTGTTGTACACGGTGTAGTATAACTGAGAACTTGTTGATTAGTTAGCATTTCATTGTTGTGCACGGTTTGACTCATACTTAAAGAAGGTTTAATTAATACATATTGTAGGGAATTGGAGACAGTATTAACTGGAGTCATTACGGTAGACATTTGTACAGAAGGATATGTCGAGTTCAACGGCATTAAAGGAGGTGCATGAATAATTCTCACCTGTTGCTGGTGTTGTTGTTGCTGCTGTTCACTCAATGAAACACTAGATTGAGTGTAACCTTGACTACGAAGTTCAACAGTATTATACAAATCTTGAGATTCACTATCTTCCGTTCCAGAATAAGTGACTACACAAGCACGTTTTGTTGATCCTGATGCAACAGCTTTACGCGACCATGTAGGATCATCTTGAGAAAAATTCGAACGAACCTCTGTTCGTGCATTACTTTGAGTTGTCTTTTGAAGTGTTAGTTCACGTTGACGTCTTACTTCTCCTTCTGTTGCTATGAAACCTTTAACAGATTCAATATTTCCAACGGAATGCTTAGAGAAAGCTAAACTGGTAGCTCTAGAATTTGACAAATAACGTGGATCATTAGAATGCAAAGAAATTGTATTATCCACAACAGTAGTTAAACGATTGTTCTTTTTAATTCTGCGCTTTATTTTAGTACTTACACCACCACTATCAATAGAAGCCCCACTATCAGTTGAATCATCTGTAGAAAAGCCATGTTGGACACCACCACCACCACCAATATCTTCATAAAAATCACTTTCATCGCTATTTTCACATTCATCATCATCTATGTCATAAACTAATCTACTGAAACCATCATCATTTGGCAGTATATTCATGTATCGTGCTGCTTTCAAAACCACTTGAGCTTCATCACGTTCTTGAATATCATTTGTATCTGGAACTAGTTCATCTGTTTGATGTAATGCAGCTACTGGAACTAGTTCTTCAACTAGTGAACTGATTGAATCTAAACTGGAACCTGGTATCATTAAATAAGGCATTAAAGTTTTAATTAAGAATTTTTTTTATAAAGAATAATCTCGACTGATTATTAAAAAAAACAATAAGGTTTTTTTTTAAAGATATCAGATAAATTATACCTGCTAACAATTATCATTATTAATGCATCAAAATACAATGCAGTATACGTTGTAGACAGTCATAATTCTTGCCTTTGTGAACCTACTTTTATAACAATATGATATAAATATGATATATGTATAAACTAATTGTTCATATTAACGGATTTGGACTTGATTAAACTTTTTATAGTAAGTAGAATGTGTGAAAAGCAAATTACATTATTTTTCGACGATGAAATTTTTGTTTAACATTAATTAATTTCATTTTCATGCAGTGTATGATGATTACTCAGTGCAATATTTTTGTTTTATTTTCAAATTTAATGTTCATTTAAGATATATAATATGCTTGTGTGTGTGAATTCATAGGAAGCATTATTAGTATGACACATGGCGGTAGTGTTAAAAAAACTTGGTTATAACTTCACATATATATCTATGTAACACCTATTTTTTTTCTAATTATAATAATCAAATCGGTATCAAAAATCAATATATTAAGTAGTGTATATTTTCGACTAGGATTGTTGTCAAACATAACAATTTCTCCATAAATTGTTCACATCAACTCTGAAAGGAGGATGTAATATCAATAAAATATGCTAAAAATTTTTCGTTAGCAAAAAATATTCTTTCCATAACATGTTGCGTGAAAATAACATACACATTTCATAATTGTGCTCTAAAAACAAATTATTGGTGTGAATAATAAACGATAAAAGTTATTTAGCAAATAGAAGTTTAAGTAATCTGTTCTTTTGTTCAATTGGCTAGAAGAAATATTACCCAACTAACTAAACTGAAGTAGATAATTGCATGATACTATACTGTTTTAGTTTTAAAATATCAAGCGTAGGAGCGTATTAAAATATTTGAAAGTTGATTGGAAAATAACTTGGCACGTCCATAGATTTTTCCCGTTGAACATGTACACAAAATAATATTGGACAGTTGGAAACAATGAATACAAATCTTTATTTGATTTAGATTTTGTGTACATGTAAGATATACATCTAAAAATCTGAAATTTTTTCTCCTGCTTCTCCAAGACAATCATTTCCAAAACAGAGTATTGACTATAAAACAGTAATAACGAGTAGTAAACTAACTAGTCGGCTCAGAACATACATATCACGTCTGAAACAGAATGATGATATGCTATCCAGTAGAACGCCAGTACTTCAAATAGAAAAAATTGTTAAGCAACTGACTAGGATAATTAACTGTTACTTCCTTACACGTGCATATCAGAATGATTTTGAAAAAAGACCATCATAAGGAAAATACACTCACCCATAATAACAATTCGTCCTGTTGAAAAAAGTTTAAGAGAGGTACTTGAATTAGGATCAGTTTTAAAAGTGAGACCAGGAGCTAGTTCAGGTTCGTAACTATTGTTGCAAGAAAAAAGAAACACAGTTTATACTGGTTACAAGAACAGCATTGTTAACTACAAAATATCTTCAATATAGTTCTGTACAAATTCCTTTTATAGATGAGTAGTTTTTGGAAAAAAAATCAATACTTATAGTTCCGTTAATATATTTATACATAAGAACGTTGTTTGAAAATGAAAGAAACGCAGATTGTGGGTTGAAAACTGACAATTATGGATTTTAAGTCCTAACCCTCATGAGATCTACCGCTTAAAAATAGTCCCAACATTACTTCGTTCACCAAGTGTTTAAAGTCAGGTTTCCTCAACCTTGATAATGACTCATTTCAGAACGACTGTGATAAACAGAAGTAAAATACACGGCGTTGCGAACCGCAATCCATGATAATTTCCATTTAACATACACTTCGCGGCTGCAAACACCTGCTTTTAGCAAAGAGGTTGCGGTGACTGTTGGATTTTATCAAGATCAGGAATCAATTTAAGTTAGACAACAATTGAAAACCTGAAAGCATTCGACTTTTTCTAACTCTTGTGAAATTAGAGATCCCTTAGACAAGAAACCCAATAAGAGTTGGAAAATAAATGACTCAGGCAAATATTCCATGACTGACTCTGTGGATAACTGGATAACACATGAAACTTACATTCTTGACTTAAAGATGTGATCTCGTAAATTTCATGTTTTAATTATAGGTTTAAACACTAAGATTAGGGCTGCATTCTAAATATATAAGAGATAGTGATACCGTCCGATTGTTCACACTGAAGTAGGTTGAGTGAGACTTGAACCGGTAATCTACTAGCTGAAGCCCAACTTGCTTAACTACCATAAGCTATCGCCGTACTTATATAATGTGGTACAGTTGGACACGAAATTCCAAGCATACAAGGATCGACTGTTTATTGTAGTGAGTAGTCTTAAGATTTTGAGTTAGAAATGTCTACGAAGTATTTTCTTTCAAAAACTTTCTATTTTCATAAAACCCAGGGATTGCATTAGCGTAAATAGCAACCTTTCGTGTCGGAGTACATTGACATCCCTTTCACAGTAAAACAATCGATGAATCAAAATTCCTCTAACAAATGTTCCGTAAAAATAATTAGCATTTTGAAAATATAATATAGAATTTTTTTAAATATACCTCATTTGCATCGGTCTTTCTTTGACTAATTCTTCTAATCTGACACCAAATGGTAATTTACAAGTAGCCATGATATTGACCACACGATATTTACTAAAATGACAAGGGAATCCGCATTTTTCTATTCGTCTAGCGATTCGCCTAGCGCCAATTTTTGCTTTAGTAAGCCTACACATGATAAAGAAAAGATATAAATCTGGGGAACAATAAGAGATCATTGAACATGGCTTTGTTTGAATGTAGCTGAAATTTGAATGACATAACCATCGGGACATAACTCGAACTTGAGTATTGTTTCGTGGCACGATATGATGTGAAATCCAATAAGCTGCATAAATGTCCTTAACTACCAACTACATAGTATGCCAGTCAAAAAGTCACGATATCACTTTTGTTTAGTTACGGATAAATAGATCAACAAGTAATATGCTTCCTTACCACCAGTGATATTGTTTTTATAAATAAATCAATGATTGATACTTTAAATATCCTGGTCATCAAGAGTAGTTCATATATCAAGTGTTAGTTGGAGTGATAGTGTAACAAAAAACATCTCAAGTTTGTTTAATCAGTGTGACGGCAACACATGAAATCCCCAAGTGAGTTTGAATGACACCTGCCATGGAGGTGAACGACAATAAATAGTTGCTAGGGTAATAGAGGCGAAATAGATAATTGCACCATCTAATCTAACACCTGATGAATCCCAATGATGAAGCTTATACAACTCTAAGTAAATACGATGACTGTTAGACAACCAAGAGATGTTCTATAGTGTGATTTGAAACCAAAAATCATAATTCATCAGAACCGCCAATCGCATATGACAGACATATCCTAGTGAGTCAGTGTCATCGTTTAAATTTACAAGTCTTCTGGTTCAAAACACAGACATTAGACCAACAACCTCTTGCTGTGTGTTCTCATGACACACAAGTAACAAACTGAAGATACTTTTTAGTACAGTTTGATGAGTTAGCATTTTACAGTCGTTTTACCGAATGCAGATGACAACTAACTTTCACTCTTTTTTGATACTGCAGATTGTTGGAATAACTCCACCTGTAGAACCTTCAGCGCTACTGCCGGTCCCAAGCACGGAAAAAGGAAGTGAGTTGGGAATGGGTTGACAACTCCACCTCACCAAAAAAACTAAATTGCCAAAAAAACGCTAACCAGAAAAATAAATCAAACCATTTTCACTCTGCCCTGAGAGTTGGAAGAAGAATTATGACGTCTCGTGATGAAAGCCGAGTCCCTTCGGAAGTCACGAGGCCGATGCCTCTTCTGAAAACCAGAGCAACCATTCTTTTAGGTACATGGAACGTTCGAACACTGTGGGAGACTGGAAGACTATTTCAAGTTGCTGCGAAAATGAAAAGACACAACCTAGGTTCTTGGAATCAGCAAAGCGCATTTGACACAGGTAGGACAACTGAGACTAGCTTCAGGGGAATTGCTGTTATACTCTGGTCATGAAGAGGAAAATGCTTCACATACACAAGGAGTTGCACTGATGCTATCCAAACAAGCACAAAAGGCACTGATAGGATGGGAATCTCATGGATCCAAGATCAAAACAAAGAAAGAGGACATTACAATGAACGTCATCCAATGCTATGCACCTACCAACGACTACAATAACGACGATAAAGATCAATTCTACGAAAGGCTGCAGTCAATCGTCGACAGGTGCTCACAAAAGGATTTGACGATTCTAATGGGAGACCTAAATGCCAAGGTTGGCAAGGAAAACACTGGATATGGAGACATTATCGGACGACATGGACTAAGAGAAAGGAACGAAAACGGTGAGAGATTTGCAAACCTATGTCCCTTCAACAAACTGGTCATCGGCGGCACAATATTCCCGCACAAACGCATTCAAAAAGCCACATGGATTTCACCGCATCACACTACTCAGAACCAAATTAAACAGAATGAAGGACTTCGTAGACGCCCAACTTCGAGACCAACAGGCTGTATTTCATAAGGATCGATTGTTGGTTATTTCCATAACTGATTGTAGTTATGTCGTAACTAACCAATCAAATTGTGGCTTAAGCGCCCACCATGTGATCTGATCTGACGTGTCTGTAAACTTTTTTTGTTGTAAATGACCTACTAATTGAAGGACATTATTATCTGATTATACTGATGTGACTCATAACTGTATTCATTTCCAAAAGATACGCTATATTGGTCGGTACGTTTGCTCGAATTACTTGATAATTGTAATTTCCTTAATTATTGTACTAATCTAATTGTTTTTACGTTTAGAAACAGATAAAGTTTAAGACCGAATTGGTATTCTTTTGACTATAGCTTTCACACAGACTCTGTGCTCGCCAGTATTGCGTTTACAGTTCAAGAAGTATATCTATAGGACAAATTAAATCCTATATAGATCGTGTACTGACCGAATTGCAACATTACGGATCATTGTGGAACAATCAATTGAATGGAACTCACCACTATACATCAACTTCATCGACTACGAGAAAGCATTCGATAGCGTGGACAGGAAAACACTATGGAGGCTTCTTCGACATTACGGAGTGTTTGAGAAGATAGGCAACATCATACGGAATTCTTATGATGGGTTAAACTGCAAAATCGTGCACGGAGGTCAGGTGACAAACTCGTTTGAGGTGAAGAACGGTGTCAGACAAGGTTGCTTACTCTCACCCTTTCTCTTTCTCCTGGTGATTGACTGGATTATGAGCAAGTCAACATCTGGAGGGAAGCATGGTATCCAATGAAAGGCTAGGACTCAGCTGGACGATCTGAACTTCGCAGATGACTTGACTCTTCTATCACACACGCAACAACAAATGCAAGAGAAGACGACCAGTGTAGCAACAGCCTCTGAAGCAGCAGGTCTCAACATACATAAAGGGAAAAGCAAGATTCTACGATACAACACTACATGCGCAACCAAACCACTCTTGATGGAGATTCTTTGGAGGACATTAACACCTTTACATATTTGGGCAGCATTATCGACAATCAAGGCGGATCCGATGCAGATGTGAGGGCGCGGATCGGCAAAGCAAGGGCTACATTTCTACAATTGAAAAATATCTGGAACTCCAAAAGAATATCCATCAACAACAAAATCAGGATTTTCAATACAACTGTCTTGACAGTTGTACTGTATGGAGTGGAAACTTGAAGAACTACGAAAGTCATCATCCCGAAGGAACAAGTATTTATGAACAGTTATCTTAGCAAAATACTTCGTATTCGTTGGCCAGACACTATCAGCAACAACCTGCTGTGGGAGAGAACAAACCAGATTCCAGTGGAGGAGGAATTCAGGAAGAAGTGGTGGAAGTGGATAGGACACATACTAAGAAAAGCACCTAACTGCGTCACAAGACAAGCCCTCACATGGAACCCTCAAGGTCAAAGGAGAACAGGAAGGCCAAGGAACACATTACGCCGAGAAATAGAGAAAGACTAGGAGAATGAACGAAAACTGGAAAGAACTGGAAAGGGAAACCCAGGAGAGAGTTGGTTGGAGAAAACTGGTCGGATGACTATGCTCCATTGGAGGTAACAGGCGTAAGTAAGTAAGATTTTTGGAATATATTTTAACCCTAGCTTATTATTATTATGAATCGTGTTAGTTCGACGGGCACACAGTGGATAAAAATTGCTAAACAAGAAACAGAGTAACATGTTTAGATGTAATTTAATTACCAAGTACAGGTTTATTTACTTGGTTATAAGCCACACTATAGATAATTTCCGGTTTTTCAAACTGAAGTAGGTGTAACAGAACTCCAACATGGCATTGCATAGTGTAAAGTCCATTCTTTTGACCACTATGCCACTATTCTACATTTGAATGCTTATGAACTGTCGTCATAAAAATACATCCGTTCTTCAAACGTAACATGTAAGTAAAATATTTATTATATGCATGACTTGTATGATAATACAAATTTATCATGTTTTAAAATTCTAAATACCAACCGACCAAATAACCGACACAGTTTATGAATTTATAAATTGTAAAATACATAGACAAAGTATCACTGCTAACGAATAACCATGCATGTCACGAATCAATTTATCTTGATTACACACATTTATGCAGCAATCAGTGAAAACTATGAAAGAAAAAACGAGTTAACTTATATACTTGTATGTAGTTGTAAACAATTTCAAATAGCTTAGTGCAGTGAGTGAATGCAAAACAATATTCAAGAAATAATCAGGTATACTACATCACAGATACTGGTAAAAATTGAAATATGTGACATTTGATATCAACAAAAAGAACTCAAGAAAAAATTATAGAGACGGTTATTGCTTACGAATTAGCTCCAGTACACCAGATTTTCCCGCTAGACCAGATTGTCGCCACTGTGTAAGGCGATCGCAAACGCATTATAACGTGCTACATAATCATGAAGATGAACAACATAAAAAATATTAGTATTTTTGAATCCTGAAAGATCGAGGAAAAAAAACAGTTATACAGAAAGTCAGTCAGTCAGTTACAACGCAGAAATTTGTACGCATGTACATCAGTTCAAGTTGCCATACCACATTAGCACAGAGACGTAATTGTCGATTCAAATCCAATAGCAGTAGAAGTAGTAAAAGTAATAGCAGTAATCAAAGAGATTAGAGTTTGAAGATATTATTCAAGAAGTAGAATTTAGTGAAATAAACTTAAAGAGAAAAAGATGATGATGATGATGATGATGAGGAGGAGGAGGAGGAGGAATTCAGAAGGTTAGGATTTGACGGAACACAAAAAATGGATGCACCTGTGCCATTGCAAACGGTTTTGCGCTATGCCATTCACGGTCTCTAACCACCGATTACTATCATCTCGCGGCCCCAACCAGGTATTCCATACTTACCAACATGACTCAATAGAGTTGTCAGTGATTTCATAGACTGTTGTACAAAAGAACAATAATGGATTTTTAAAAACAGCCTTTTAGGGCTATCTTTAGGTTTAGGAGAAAACATAAAAACCCATAATAAGTGGGTAAAGTTTATTCATATAAAATTTTACTCCATAATATCTGTGTTGGAAAAGTGTGTTAACGGAATATCGGAATTCGATCATGTTAAATTAAATTAAGTAGTATTGAACATCAACAATGAAGTCTTTCACTAGTTAGCATAACATAACTTCTTTTCAGCAACACATGGTTGAAACAAAACTATGTTACTGATTATTAACATGGATAGGTACTTAAAGTTGTGATAAAAATGGTAAAAAGGTTTGAAAATGTAGGACAATCAGTAAAAACAGAAAGTGGATATTACACAATCATAAAAATTTCTATGCACGGAAAGAGAACATGAAAAGCTAATTCAACCGAATCTAAGCCTATAGCTCAACATGTGAAGAATACCAACCATCTATTAATTTATTTATTATACAATTACCGACCGTAGCTGCTACCATGACGTGGTGGTCGGGCTTGCCTATCGTGATGACCCAACCGAGCTATACTGGCTGGAACATATGTTCCTCAAGGTTCTACCATGCCAGGCAGGTCGATCGGAGAACGATGAGACTAAAAGCAGCTACTCAAGGTCTGAGGGCGAAGTCGTACTGCTGACTGCAGAGGGGTGTGACAGCAGTAAGGTGTTTCCCTTGGACAACCAGCATCTGCAACGATGCTGCCTTCTCACAAGGAAGGAAGGGTTAGAAAAGGTCGTCCCTAAAAATGTCACACCTCCCCTAACTCACGGATTTCCGTCTCCTTGGGTAAGGGTGCCCACTAAGGGCCTTTAAGAACGGAGCTAATCCTCAAAAAACCTCTCATAAAAAGGCCGTGCGTGACCGGCCTCAAGCAGTTGTCCCTTGGACTCTGCGGTCACGCACCCAGGTCTCTAAGACCAATACTAATCTATTTTCCTTTTCAGGTTCCTCAAGAAACAACCTTCCACGATGTGGGCAGCCGGGAAGTGACAACCGCCCTCATACCAGTAACAGCACGCGAGACCAAATTGATCAAAATCAAATTCTTCCTACACCCCCTAGTACCTCTCTTATCTCCACGACTAACTCTTCTCACATTCATTTATCACAGTGCACAGCTAATGCAGACGACACGAGTTCGCGAAACGTCGTTCCTGGTTTCCTTAAACCCCGCTCTAGACTCCATGCTGGAGAATTTAATGTATGGATATTGTGTCAAATAGGGCAACAGGCATCATTAGCTAGGACTTTAGAATCTCGTGCCATCGATGTGTGCTTCGTCTCCAAAACGCGCATACAGGATCCTAGTAAAATTATTAATCTGATTTCACCTTATCAAAATAAAGAAGCAGCTCGATTTACTCTTCGTGTATCCGGTAGCCCTGATGCTGCTTCCAGGGGTCTTGCTGGCGTAGGCATAGCATTGAGTCGTAGAGCTGAACAAGTCAAGTCAGTCAAGTCAGTTGCAACGTAGAACTTCGTACGTATGTACATAAGTTCATGTTGCCATACCACATTAACACAGAGACGCAAAAGTCAAATCAAATCCCATAGTGATAAACATAGTAGAGGTAATAATGTTAATAAAGAAAACTAGGGTTCGAAGGTATTATTCAAGAAATATAATTCAGTGAGATAAGGTTAGAAAGACAAAGGTAGAGGTGCTGACGATTCCAGAAGATTAGCATTTGAGAGAGCTCAAAGAGTGGATGCACCTGCGCCATTGCAAACGATTTTGAGCCATATCGTTCAAGGTCTCTAACCATTGATGACTTTCGTCTCTCGGACCCCAACCAGATAGTCTACATGTACCAACATGACTCAGTCCACTTGTCAGTGACTTCATGGATTTCTGCCATGTTTTGGTCTGGCCGCCCCTAACTTTCTTCCAACCTACTCCTACACCACAAAACATAGCTTGTCGAGGCAGTCGGTGGTTAGGCATACGTAACACATGTCCCAACCACCTCAACTGATGAAGTTTCACCACTTCATCTATTGATCTGCCATCCTTACCTAGTACTCGTTTCCTAACGACAGCATTGCTTACTCGGTTGTCCCACGATATACGAGCAATGCTTCTTAAACATCTATGATCGAATATTAATAACCTACGAACATCTACTCTTAACGGCCATGTTTCGCAGCCATATAAGAGAACGGAGCGAACTGCTGCGCAGTACACCCGCCCTTTGGTTAGCGAACGGATATCACGCCTACGCCATAAGTGACGCAGGTTGGCTAAAGCCAATCGAGCCTTCTGTATCCGAGCTGAGATTTCGTCAGTCACCAGGCCGTCAGCACTGATGAGACTCCCCAGATAAGTGAAGTGATCAACACGCCCGACTACTTCACTCCCTATCACTAGTTCAGGTGCCAATGCAACCAAGTCTTGAAGCAACATTTTGCATTTCGAGGGTGAGAACCGCATTCCGAACATGCTCGCATTGTTGCTTATGGTAGTCAGAAAACTCTGAGCTGAACAATCTCTCCTTGACTGGATCTCAGTAGATAGTCGCTTGTGCGCTGTCCGACTAAATGGGACAGTAAGGACTCGGAAAGACAGGGACAATCGCTGTTGCCTCTTCATCGTATCTGCCTATGCCCCCACTGACTGCAGTTCAGACGAGGTTAAAGATGAGTTTTACAGAAAGCTTTCGGACCTCCTCCAAAAAGCTAGGCACTCTGATATAGTATTAATGGCTGGTGACTTTAATGCTCAAGTAGGTAGACTGAGTGAAAATGAAAGACACCTAGGTGGATGTTATGGTATCGCGGCTCAGAGAACAGACAATGGTGACCGTCTGTTGCAACTATGCTCAGACAACCGCCTATTCTTAGCAAACAGTAACTTCAAGCATAAGGAAAAGCATCTGTTGACCTGGCGACCTCTAAAGTCGTCTCAACGTTGGACGCAACTAGATCACATCGCCATCAGCCACCGATGGAGGGGTCCGATAGAAGACTGTCGCTCGTTCTGGGGCACATGTTTGGATTCAGATCATGCCCTAGTGCGAGCGCGTATTTGTTTGAAGCTTACTGGGCGTAGGAAAGACACCGTAAGAAAGCCTCTTAGGGTTTTACTTAATGATAATAAGGCGAAGAATATATTTCAGGAACAACTAGAAAGACAGGCGACCATTTAAGCGATTCCCATCCGGAAGCAGGATGGAATGATATCAAAAAGGCTGTGGAAACAGCAATGATATCTGCTAGTAAGGTTGACCATAAGGCTAGAATGAAGCCGTGGATCTCAGTAGCATCCATCGATCTGATGGATGGCCGAAAACACATCCCACCTGGCTCTGAACATGATGAAGAACGAAGTCAACTTAGGCGCAGACTTATAAAAAGCCTACGTAACGACCGCGAACAGTGGTGGGTGGCGAAAGCAAAAGCGATGGAAAAGGCAGCGGTGATCGGTAACAGTAGACAACTTTTCCGACTTATCAAGGAAACTGGCATTAGGAATCATAGTGTAAGTGAGACTATCTCAGAAAATGACGGGACTCTCATTTATTCTCAATCCAGGAGACTGGATCGATGGGCAGAACACTTTAGGGATCAGTTCAACTGGCCTCGAGCCACTCTTCGGTTACCCACGATCTCCAGTCATCCTGAATGGCAAGTCGACGTAAGTCCCCCTCGTCTTAATGAAGTTGAAGCGTTAGGAAATCTGTAGCGAGGGCGAGCTGCGGGTCCTGATAGACTGACCCCTGAGATATTTAAGGATGGTGGTCCAGTTTTAGCAACCAGGTTGACTGAGATCTTAGGTAGAATCTGGGAACTGGACGTAATCCCATCCGACTGGTCTCAATCACTGATTGTCCCAATCTATAAGAAAGAACAGAAGTCTTCTTGTGACAATCACAGGGGAATAATTCTAACTAATATAGTTTCTAAAATATTGGCCTCAATAATACTTCGGCGCTTAACGAAAGCTCGTGAAGAGCAAACTCGAGAAAACCAATCTGGTTTTCGACCTGGACGTGGTTGTATAGACCACATCTTCACACTACGACAGGTCCTGGAACACAGACACACATTTAGGCGTCCTACAATAGTTGTTTTCTTGTTCCTAAAAGCGGCATTTGACTCTGTAGATCGTGAGGTTCTGTGGCAGTGTCTGTCATTGAAAGGTGTACCAAATAAGTACATTAACCTCATACAAGCTCTCTACTCGAACACCACTGGTCGAGTGAGAGCTTATGGCGAACTGTCACCGGAATTTTTCACTTCCAGGTGTCCGTTAGGGATGTCCACTTTCTTCATTTTTGTTTGATTTTATCATAGAGATGCTCCTAGAAATAACCTTATCCTCGTATGAATTTTCAGGAGTAGACCTTTTACCACGTGGCTCGCTTATTGACTTAAAATATGCCGATGACATTGTCCTACTTGGTGAAGACGCTGACAAAATGCAGAGTCTTCTGACTACCCTGAGAAGTACAGTACAGTACTCGTATACAGGTTGACTAATTTACGAATAGCTCAGCCGAAGTTCAATGATCAAGGTGTTTGACTCAATCGCACTAAATCCTAGGTTTGGGCCGTACTCCACTCCAGTTTGAATAACCGGTTAGTAGCATTAGCCCTAACACTTAACGCGGTTCGAAACTAAGTACACCAATCTGCACTAGTGAGTTGATAAACAAATTGACAAGTGATTTAGAAAATTGTTTCTACAGCTCGTCAAACTATCTTGGTTCTTGAACAAATTCACAAATTTATCGAATTTTTCCATAAAATTAAGTGTTCTAACTTTTACTTGCTGTAAAACTAAAATTAAATCTCCACAAATTTAAATGATGGAACGCTAACCGACTTAGAATTAGTACGGCTACTGTTGTTTATAGATCTAACTGACTATAAATCTAGCTGTCAACTTAAATAATATACATTGCCGAAATCTGAATTACCATGTGGCATCGTCCAGTAGTTAATGCATTTCAACTTGTTGATTTGTGACTAGTATTTGAATGAAATGGATAAAATGAATCACCAGAATAACTTATCAGCAAAATATTTAGCTACTCATGAGGATCTAAAAATATTATTTACTAGGTAAGTTCACAAAGTTAAAAATAAAAAGGATTAGAAGAACTTGGGAGTACTTATTCTTCGAACTCAATGATAAATATGAAATTTTAAAACTATGGAATAAATATTACTCAGACTTACATTCTGAAGAGCTTTATATTCTACATTAACACTAGTTCTAGCTATTTCTTTTAATCGTAAATGACACTGAAGGCTAGCCATAACAACCACATTTGTTATGGAAAGTGTTAGTGAGGATGCTTCTTCATTGCACGGATCTTCTTCGTTACTTTTATTCAGATCATTTCCAATAATATCTTTTAAATCATCATTCTCTGTATCAGATGTGTTTAAGAAATCTAATATGTCCGTCCCACTCCCTGTAAATGAATTGTCTTCTTCACCAGCACTACGATTAATACATTCGTTTGTTTGCATTCTACAGTATTGTGTTTGAAAGTGTTATATGATGCTAAAAACGACAAAGAAAAAGAAGTGATAAGTGTTCTGAATGTGAAATCACCCGATTCGGGCAGGTCATACAGTCTTGCCTATTCATTAATGAAAGGCACAAACTTCTTTGTCCGTACATAAAAATATTTATTAAATAGTGAACTATTAGGTTATAGTTTGAGTTATTTCAGCAGATTAACAAATACGGTATGAAAAGCTCTAAAATAGTTATTTAATCGAGGATTGGTTGGAAATTAGAAAATCGGATGCGACTCAGACGGCAGTACACACAGTAATATGTGATTAATAACTAAATGAATCGTATCACCCATCATGCATCACTTGTTCGATGCTATATCATATTTAAGTTTCTCACATGACATATAACTGGCCCATATGAATAAGGTATTGGAACGGAGCAAATATATAACTCAATAACCTATAGTTGTTAATCACTTCATTCAACCCGTTATTATAAACTGTACGCACGAATTCAGTTACTATTTCGGTTTATATCAATTACCACTCAATTGGACGCATCCAAATTCATTTATTGATGGAATAAGTAAATCACATATAGCTTAGGCAGTTATAATTTATTTGTGAGCTACAGTAAATCTTCATTTGTAGTTTTACCTTTATCTTTGCAGTACTGAGCAATATCAGCTTCTGTTTAGTTATGTGGCATGCAGTATGTAGAAGCAATTGTCTCACGACATCATCGAATCGAGTGACGGCAGATTCACGCTACAATTCTATGATTTGTATCTTGAAGCTAATTACTAGTGAGCACATAATAATCATTACTGTAGAGGATTTGTAATGATTGTATAAATTTTGAAGTTAGTATCATAAATCATGTTATCGACGATATTTCAGTAGTGACACGAAGTAATTACTTCTAAACACACGATACATAAATGGTTTGATATGGTCAAATAGCCTAACGAAGGGTAGATATTAATGAGTTTTAAAATCTTTAGTACTGGTGACTTGTAGCCCCCTATGTAATGTTTTGAAACAAATAAAAGCTAGTCTATTTTCTGGCGTTAACTAAGTGAGCACTGTGTCTACTGATAACCTTTTTAGAGCAATCAGGCAAAGTGCATGAAAAAACCAAAACATCTAACTCAGACAACGAAACACCACCACAATTATTCACCTGAGCTACAAATTTTCTCCATCATCTCGAAAATATCTCAATCAATTATCAACTAACGTCGATATCTTATGAATTTATGATTGGTTAATGTTGACACACTACGACAATAGGAAGTGATATAGTTGTATCGTTTTAATGTTATGCTGTTACAATTAGTGTATGCCTTAGTATTCACGCTAAGCAGTTTGTACCACTCATGATAAAATAAATCGCAAACAATTCGACGCATTCCAGATGCTTAAATTTTAAATCCATGTATACCTTTATTCAACCCTGAGCCAAATATAGACATTGAAATATTGCATCTTGGTGCAGCGACAATAAGTTTTACCATCCAGATCAGTTAGTGAAGAGCTTAGATGGACTAAATGGTCATATCTCCAATCAAATCATTATAGGGAGCAAGCGCTCTGAAACTGGATGGTTCACAGTATATCAAATGCACAACCTATAAAATCTGACTTCATAAGATCACTATTAGACAGGTCATTTACTCATGAAATGACTAAGAGCGAGTGCACAAATAGCTTGTTTGAAACCTTCATGTCATTACTAACAAATACACACGAGTGTCAAATTTAGAGCAAACAACAAACCATTTAACAACTGATTTCTGATAACGTATAAAATATCCGAAGAAAACATTCCAAGTGATATGACTTTAGAAGAGGCTTCAGCAAGTCACTTAATGATCTATAGGTTATTATTTTTACAAAGAATGAGATTTCATAGTGACGACAGATAGTAGTGACATACAGACTATATATTCATCATCTATGATCAGTTTTGTCAAACAGTATTACCCAAACATACCTCGTCAAACATTCCAGTATAATCAGGAAGTAAAACTATTCACGTACAACAAAGCCACCTTTCCATTATGAAATGCATAACAACTATTGAACAATCAATGTAAGAATAGTGACAAATCTGACCGAACCTACAGCACATTAAAGGCGTTACAAAATGTCTCAAACGAAATTAAATTAATTTTAATAACTCAATTAAGCAATCAACCGAATTCCTTTTTTGGCATCTTTTCATAATTTGTCAACCACTTATGACGCACAACAGCTGGAGTTTAAACCAACAACGCAACTACAAAGCGAACAGCTAACACTATTGAGATAAAGTTGAAAAACTTCAGTCCTTGACATATTTAAGAATATATTATGATTACACCTGACCTGGCTCTACGACTACGGTCTTGGTAAACCTCCATTGTTAACAACCAGCAGAGTTCGGGTTTCAGGCAGCATTTCTCCTTAAGTAGATGTGAATTTCACCGTGTCGATCCGGTCAATATAGACTCAGCAGATCTAACCTGTAGAGTTACCAGTGTTAACATGTGGAGCTAGTCATTTCACAGTATTATAAATTGACCCTTTAATCTACCTTCAAAAAATGTATGTCGACGGATTCCAAACGTTATTTTAGAATGAACCTGGGATTCGTGTCTATAGCTTCGCAAATACGCAATTCAAGGGAGATGTGCTTCTGCACAGATATAGTTTGTATGAAAATAGGTCATAAGCAATGAGCTGTTCCAGCTGGTAACCGCTTAGTCTAGTGCCAAATATACTGCTTTTTATGACGAGGGCTCTAGTAAGTGTTTTAACGCTTGTATTTACTTATTCGCACGATCCAAGACTTAGTGTAACGTTATGACTTCATAGAAAGTAGATCAAATAATAGCGATGATGTAAAGGATTTGCATTTAATTTAGGTAGAGATTATCCCTTTGATAACTTCTAACTGCACCCTGATATTAAGACTCCGACCCACTTAACCACGGAAAGGATGAACAGCTGGTTGTACAAGGACAACCGCCAAAGACCTAGATTGCATATATAAACAAACAAAAATCTATTACCTAATATCCTTTTTCAAGAACCAGTATGACTCAGTATTTCTTTATGCTTCCTCCATGTTGTTTCATTATGCGTCATGTTATTTACTGATGTCCATGTAAGGTAGTATGAGGACTGTACAAATTCTGATCTGTTAGTATATATGAATTTCCATGTCCTGTGATTTTAGTGTATGCGTTTGACTAAACGCAGCAGCTACCGCATTGCCAGGTCGGAGGTCAGTTCTGCTATCCAATATTTATTTCACGAGCTAGTATAAAACAACTGATTTCTTTGTGTTTGGTTCTTCTTTTGGTACGGTCCCAGGTGTTTGGTAGTATCTAGAGGATGAGGGTCTAGCCACTCGACCGCTCTAATTCTAGTCATTTAAATTAAATCTATAGGTCCTTTGATTCGAATGGATACGTTTGTTTCAGGGTAGTAAGTTTTCTGGCAACCATCAGCTATCACGATACCAGACCGCATATCAGTTAGTTGCAACGTGGAGAATGATAAGTAGAAGTATCTAATGCCAATTAGAAGATTTCAGAACTAAGTAAGTAAATGGATAATTTAGTTTGCTTATCGGTAGTGAAGGTTGTGCGAGAGGGAGGAAGTGTAAGCAAGGCAGAGGAAACAGAGATAATAAGCGAGAAAGAGTAGGTTGATGTGCAGGAATCCGAACGTTCGCTCATTGATGTGCAATTTTCGCGGATTACCTCAATCAGCGTGCTGGTGATGCGTCGACAAGATGCACATGTTTGGATTATTTGGCGCGCTTAATGTATTGTATGCCACATATGTCTCGTTAGTTACATTGGAGAGAATAATATGGAGAAAATTCGAGTGCTATGGAGAAAATAAATGTTTCAGAAGTTATGTAAATTAGTTGATTGACTCCTCGTGCGTAGTGTGTTGGAAACGGAGTGATAGGGTAAAAAGGAAGTAAAGATGATTAGAAAAGAGAGAAATTAAGTAAGTGATCTAATCTATGATAAAGCACACACAAAACTCCGAAACCCAAGAAAGGTCTTATTAACATTTCGGCTGCCCCAGAAAGTCTTGTTGATCGTCACTGACTTCTAAACTAATACATTAAAACTTCGAACTGTTAAAACTTTGCAAACCAAACGGGGTATGACGATTAGCAACACACATTTAATACATGTTTTTTAAAGGCAACCTTTTCTTCACTTCTAAATTGGCATGAATCTTCTACGATGCCTCGGAGGAATCCGCAGCTATATTCTCATTACGGGTTTATTTTTTAACTCAGCGCATAAAACTAATGTTCTTCTGTTGTATACCGTAGCTACAAATTAGTTGCAGTGTACAACCCTCTTTCTCTATGTTGTTGTGAATAAAGTATGATTGGCAAATTTTATTCCATTATTTAGTAATCTTTAAGATCTGCACAAGGCTACCTAGTTTAGTGCTTATCTTTTTACATAGCAAAACTTTTCACTTACGAGTTTTACAAATAAATACTTTAGCAAATAACGGTTCGATGTCTTAAATCTGGTGGCTTGGACTACTAATGATCGATTCGTAACAGTCAGTCTTTCGCATTATTGCAAATCAAATTTAACTAGCATACGAAGGAGTTGTAATGGTACTGGTTCTCAACCACACGATCCTTGAGGTTAAACATCTAATATCCTTTAAGAATTACAATAGCTACTGGGTTCTCAGGAAAGGTCAGAGATACCTAATTAGGGTGCACTCATTTAAGATGGCCTGGCTCGGTCATGTAAGCGCCTTTACTCCAAATCAACCCTCACTACTCATATTAAATACATTATTTTATTTACAGCCAAATGTAATATTTGCAGAGACAATAGAAATTTGATGCTGGGTATCGAGATGGGTCGAGAAAGTATAGATAACGATGTGACCCATGTACGTTCTGATAGCTAGTGTAACTTGTCCAATATATATATATATATATATATATATATATATATATATATATA